CCCTCCTCAAAGAGTACGTTAAGCTTTTGGTGGTCTGCCTGAAGATAACATCAATTCTCCCAAAAATCTTACAGGCGAAAATGACGGTGATGTCCCTAACGTAAGCCTGCCAAGCGTAGGCAAGGCTAAGCCTGTGTCGAACCGTAACAAGCTCCCCCACTCTATTCATTGTTGACCTCGACAATGACTCCTTCTGTGAATGGGCGTCTATGTCCCGCGCCATCCACTCTTCTGCCAGTTCCAGGGCTCGCCTGGCCAACCCGGSTCTTGCCTATATTGGTGTCCATTTATGGGGACGGAACCATTTCACCATGCCGGTCTGCCTGGACTTCACCTCCCAGTGTTGAGGTTACTCAAACCGCGCAATGGCTATGCCGTTGAACTGTGAAAGAAGGTCCCTCGAAGAAATGTGTGTGGTGCTTCGCGGAGGTCCRCCCCATGTATCATCTTACCTCAAGGCTGAACCGTCTTCTTGGTAGCTTTTCAGTGATGTTACCGAACACGCTGATAGGTCTACTCATGTTGGCGATGACTTGGGTACCCTTTCACCATGCTGGCCTGCAGACTTCACCTCGCCGATTCGGGTTACTCAAACCTAGCCATGGCTTATGCTCTCTTGGCCCTTGAAACTATGCTTTGCCTCGCCAAATCGGGCTACATCTTCACTCCGAGGGGGCCCCACTGCTGCTGTCTCAAGGAGACCTGACCGCTTCAAACGCGAGTGTGGAAACTTTTACCCATAAGCTGCCGAACATGCACTCGCCTGGTGATGCGCTTTCGCTACTGCAAGTGTTCCACCTGAAAACTGAGCATGTCCACCTGATACTTTGCAGGTGTAGGACCGCCATACTTCAACGGCCAGTGTACCCACATTCCTAACAAGGCTCACGCGTTTGTCCCCGCATGAGGACAACAACCAATGCGTCTGCCCCCGCAAGGGAAGCTGTTTTAGGGTCATTAGAATGGGCACACGAACAATGAATGGCCTCTTGCTAGGCCTGATAAGCAATCTGCTCGGGCAGTGTACCCGCATTCCTATCAAGGCTCACACGTCTGCCCCCGCATGAGGATAACAACAAATGCGTCTGCCCCCACAAGGGAAGCTGTTTTAGTGTCATTAGAATGGGGACACGAACAATGAAATGGCCTCTTGCTAGGCCTGATCTGAATTCTGCTCGATCCTGGGTGGAAGTGCCTAGGGACCGCACCCCACAATGTGCTGCTTGTTGGGATGACCGCTTCAACTGGCTCTGGGCTAATCTGTTGAAAACCAACTGCGGCTGCAATTGACTAGCTCGCTCTGATACCAACTGTCACGGGGGTAGTTCTACAACGGAAGAAACCCGTGCGGCATCCAGGCCAAGGTAGGCCAGGACAAGCCTTTATGCGCTTAGAGGCTAGGAGTTGCCCGATGGGATGGCTCCACCAAAGTCAGTAGCACTAGATCATGACCTCAAGTCCAATGGCCGGGGCACTCTCCTAGCTCAGACCGGTCCATGGGAGGTGCCACTTACGTGCTAAAGGGGGACAACCATAATGCAAGGCGACCATGTGCCGATGAGGTGACTTGGCACCGATGTGAAGGGATTGTGGGCAGATGCAGCCCATCAGGTATTACCCTCAATGGTCTTACACTTAACCTCTCAACCTATAATGATCAAACACTGTCCGACAAGAAAGGACCTCTCCCTCGGCTGCAAGGAACAGTGTTGCACTCTTTGCTTATATGAATCCCGGGGAATTAAAACATTTTTGCAAACATTTTGGAAACTATAATATATATATACTTTTATATCTCATATAAAATATATATTTTGCAAAACAAATCTCAACGATTGAAATCGGCTGCCGACAGTCTTGGTTTCCATTAGAGAGAGTGCATCCCTGATCATTACCTTTGTCTGACAAAGGGGTTGTTCCTGTCACTATGATCACCCACTCAGATGAATTCTCAGACTGTCCCAACATACCCAGGTTTTGACCCCCGCTAAGGATCTCACTGATTGGTACATCAAAGACAACCCAATCCGACACCTAGTATAGTATCATAATCGAGTCTAGGTGTCGGGTGTAACTTTCCAGTTTTGCCCATTAATCTCCAAGGTCCAGGGCAATACTGGAAATCTAGTCCAGTTCAAAGATTCAATTAATCTTACACTGCATGTGCCTAGGGTCTCACCCTGGCAGCTGAGACAGGCCACCCCAACCGATTTGGTGGCACAACAGTCTCAGCCTTATCAGGATAGGTCTCCCCAGACCGACCCACTGGCTGTGAACATTCTAAACTAACACAAGTCTCATTAAGTGTCCAGTTTAAGGGTATTACACAGAAACATACCAAGGAAACATGAATCAAATATGTACTTTTATTCATTTACAATAAACTCATAATGTACATCATTTTGATTGAAGCTAAGGGCATACAAAACTGTCTAACAAAGACACCTCTAATTCCTAAAGGTCTTAGATTTCCCATACTAAAAGTTGAGTTTTATGAATCCCCTTATTACCCCCCCACCCTATATTATTTGATTTGCACTCTCTTTTGTAGATATCCTAGCCACTTCGCCACTTCCCCATTTTTTTTATTATGTTCTGTTGAGATGGCTGAAAAGGTATCAAGGGATTTGCAAGGCACCCTGTTTGTAATGCATTCAATTACTGCCTCCTTAATTCTCTCATGGTCTCTATCGAGCAAAGGAAAAGCAACAAAAGACAAATGTCCCTTTTACAAAAATAAGACAAGCTAACATACATTAAGTTGAATCACTAAAATATGTTAAATCATATAAAACACCAAAATGAAAGTATTTAGATATGATACCAAAATAAGACAAGCTAACAAACATTAAGTTGAAAGGGGGGGGGGAGTGTTAGGGGAGACATGCTATAACTAGATTACTCGTTTTCAAGCCGTTCAAAAAGGATAAAAAGTAGGGTTTAAAATCATTTGCGCTCAAGCTTGTTTATTAGATCGTAGTGCACAATTGAAAGGAGAAACATACTGATACAACTTCCTTTTTTCAAAATATTTCCTGATTTATTCCATTTTATGCAAACAGTGACAAAAAACATCTCGTTGGAATTTGCACGGAAGAAAGATCCAATCATTTGCATTTTATTGCACCCGGGCACAGTGGAAACAGATTTGTCAAGGCCTTTTTTGAGAAATGTTCCTAAAGGAAAGCTCTTCACTACCGAATTCTCAGTACAAAAGCTCCTAGGCATTATCAACAATGCAAAGCACAATGACAATGGAAAGTTCTTCGCTTGGGATGGTCTAGAAATTCGTTGGTAATGTACCCTATTGGTCATGTATCTTATCGTTACATAGAAAATCATGTTATTCATCCAGCGTTTCCTTGTGGATAACTGTATGTGGACCCATCAAAACTTGAATGAATCATTTGTTTTCTCATTTTTATGTCTTTTCGTGTAATTTGTTTAGTTTCTATTTTATTAGTGTCTTTTGTCTCGAGGATTGCATAGTTCAAACTAGAAGTGAATGTGGTGTAGACTGGACTATAGAGAGCGATAAATACTTAAGGCTGCGTTTGGAAATGATGCAAATGGAGTGTACTCGGTTCGGGGTAAATTTGCACTCTACTTCACTTTTGCCTGTGTTTGGCAACATTACATTTTTGCATTGACAAATGACAGATCAATGTATATTTACATTGGTAATAAGATGTAAAAGTACATCAATAAAAAAGAAGTAAATTTGCATTCAAGTGGGTTTTTGATAAAAAAAAGCATATGCTTTATTGGAATTCGTGTTTGCATCAATTACAACTAAAAGTCTATTTGGTAAGAAGGTAAATTTGTCAATGCAAAAATAACCCAACTTTACAATTTATATGAACCATTTTACACTCTACATATTTGCATTGTTTCCAAATGCAACCTAAGGCTTAGTTTGGAAGGAGTACAAATGCAAATATGTAAAATGCAAAACCTTATTTTTTGTATGTATTTGCAATGTACATATTTGCATTTGTACTCTTTCCAAATTGAGCCTAAATAGAATCAAACATTTTGAGACTACAAATGGATAGACCCTGGAACAATGGTCGAAATTCATGATTAATAAGTGATAAAGGCATATGAAGATTTTGAACTCTAGATCTAGCATGAACATCTTGGATTATAACCAAGGTTCAAAGTATTGATGCATATGTTTCTGTATCATATGATATGTTGCAGTTTTTGTCGTCATTGAAAACGTTGAAAGAAAAAAGAGTTATAAGGGCTCCGTCGATTTAAGCATTAGAAGTTAAGAGTTGTCAATGGATTCCAAAATTCTGATACTTGATTCAACTCCCAATCCGATTATCCTGCATTTGGATGTAAAATTAATCGGATCGGATGTAGATTTAACCCCATCCAATCTAATTAAAATTCTGAGTTTGATAAAAATATTATATATATGTATATATATATATATATATAAAGTTTATAATTGGTAAATTTAATATTTTATAGTTATATACATTTCAATACCATCCAACTAATGGACATATATTCATCATTTTCATTAGATTCGGGGTGTTTAGAAATCCTTACCCACCAAATTTTATCCCAAAATTCCCTCGTTTGATTCCTCATCAAACAAAGGTTTTATTTCAGCAAATCTTGTTAATTTGAACTTGTCATCCATAGACCTCCACCATTCCAATTCTATTTGACCAATTAAACCTCACCATTGTGTTCAAAATTCCAAAAAACCCCAATATGTCAAATTTCACAACCAAATTCCTCCAATTGGCCGTTAAACAAGCAAGATTCCATTTTAGGCCTTCTCATTAAATAATAAACATAAACTAAGACATTATTTGAACCAAATCTATCAATCCATACCTCTTATCAAAGATTCATAACTTCCATCAAATTTGGGACGTTCAAAAATGCCTACCCCCAAATTTCATCCCAAAATTATACTGTTAACCCTCCATCAAGCTAAGATTTTATTTCAACAATTCTCGTTTATTCAAACATACTAGCCATAGATCTACACCATCCAAATTTCATTTGACCAATCAGACAATGCCACCTTGTTCAGAGACCCAAAAAACCCTTGCAAGTCAAATTTTGGCACTTAATTCACTCATTTAACCGTTAAACTAGAATGATTCCATTTTGATGTGCCAAATTAAATCGCCACATTATCTATCACAACTTGAGACCTCAAGAGGGTGGAGGCTGACAACAACCCCTCTACTTGACCTATCAAAACAATTGCACCAATAAGATCAGGCCTAGACTTAAAAAGCCCAATACCCCAAAGGTATCACCACTTAAAGTCAAGAAAAGACAAAATAGCATTTATAAGTGTGTCAAATTTACATTTTATGTGACTAACATCCCCAAATACGAGACTACAATGACAGACATGCCCAAAGCTCCCATTGGATGCACATAACCCATGAAAATCAACTCCAAATCAAGGAGAATCCTTTCATCAAATAGGAAAGCTTGATTAAGTACCCTCTAGGATCTCTAGTTGGGAAAGATTCATACCTATCCCCCTCTCTTTCTCTAAAAATAAAGACCTAACTCAAGCCCCAATGGAGATATGGAGAAGGGAGAAGCAAAATAGAGACCTCAGAAGTGTCTCCAAGATCTATATGACTCCTAGTCGTGAGAAAACCCTCCAAGATTTTAACTTGAAACTTTAAATCCACCCATTTTATTCTCATACTGGAATTTTTAAATAACTCCTATATTGAACTATTACAACATCTTGGAAAGAGGGGTGCCTAACACCTTTCCTCTTCTAATCCTTTGGGAACCGAAATCTCTTGGTTAGGATTTTCAGGTGGAGAAAGGAGTCACTATCAAAGGAATGAAATTGAGTTTTCAATGCTGAAACGAGGGTCCATTTGCTTCCTCATAGAATCCTTGTGCCTTCCAATCCTCACCTCTTGTTCTTCATTTATCCTTTTTTGCTTGTGAAATTTTAGTGTTGCTTTCAGATACACATCATCTAGAGGCCGCTTAAGAGATTCCTTTGATATAGTGCCCTTGGATGGAGGCCTTATCAGGATAAGAAGTTCAGGCAATGGTGCTAGAGGTGATGGGAAACTTTGACTGCACACTCACTCTTTGTATATATGATCACACATCGGCTTGGTGGTTGGTAACAAGGTCGAGAATTCCCTTTTTCTAGAAGCCCAATGTTCTCCAAATCTCCTTTCCATATTCCTGCAATACTTGATAAAATCAACCATGTCCCCTTTGATGTCATCGATGGTTGGAATGAACTGCAAGAAGCGTAATTGTCTTATGACTCGTACTGGAATATATGGCAACAACCTATATAGTCTTACCAAAACCATGCTCTGTCTGCCTTCTACCACTAAATGGGGTTGATTACACCACTCTTGGATAGATAACCCAATGTTCTAATTAATCTTTCCTTCAATAACCCTTTGCAACAATGTCAAGTTTTGTTTCTCAATTCAAAGCTACTAATTGTGGATTGGTGCTTAGAATTTCTTTTACCTTGTATGAGGGTTGAAATTAAAACTTCCCAATGTGGATGAATAGATGTGGTAGATGTTGTATCAAACAAAGCTACCAGATTTGAAGGGAGCCACGGAATGGCCATGCTCTGCATGTATGTAACATGGTTTAGACATCATAAAATTTATGCTAAGATCATGGGGACTAGAGTAATCGATAATGCTTCATTGACTTAGTGTAGCGCTATCACTAGTCTTGCATGGATCCTTTTGCGATCAAGTAAGAAGAGCAAATGGCCCACAATGACCATGAACAAGGCATTTTCTATCCCTCTCTATCTTTTTCAGGTTTATCCGACTTGAAGACTTAGGTGCTTCACTTCAGATGAAATTGAAGTACTAAAAGCTACTTCAATCTGCTTCATTGATGTGTATACATGAACTTGTAATTGGTGTGATTAGAATGACAAGTTCATAACATTCTAATGTTGGCAAATGATGTTAGAGTCGTAGGAGAGGGTCATTTCGATGGGAGAATGTTATGAACTTGTCATTGGTGTGATTGGAGTGGCATTTGCTAAAGGCAGTCTTTAAGTGCTAGGATCCAAAAAAGATGGTCTCATGGTCTTCTGTTTTTGGGGAAATTAAAATGTTCCCAACATTAGAAGCAGTGGTGTATTTGTGAATGCCCATTGAGGATGAGATTGCCTTCCCAGTTGCCAAGCAATGATACAAAGAAAACTTCTATCAATTCTTAGTGTAAAAAACCCTAGTTACAAATGGTAGATGAAGAATACATCATCGTCTCTAGGTGGCTACATTTGGGGAACTAAGAGAAGCTATGTTTCTTTATCCTTTCCAATGGAAGCTAAAGATGTAAAAGAAATGAAACAAATATCTACAAATTACAATAACTCACAGATAGAATAAACAAAGCTACTTACGTAGAAAAAAGAAATTTGCATTTTTTCTCCTACCATACGAGAAATGTAAACTTTTTCCAAGGTAATAAAGGCTAAGTACGATAGAGGCTAAGTGCGCTGAGATGAGGGGTGCACTGCGATGTTGGGTGCGATGACAATGTGCGGGGAAGGTAGAAGGGTGTGATTTTAAGTGCTATGATGGTGCTCTCAAGTGCGATGGAGATACTCTAAGGTGTGATTTGGCTAATTAAGGAGCGATGAGACTAAAATGATGTATGATTTGGCTAACTAAGGTGCAACAAAACTGAAATAGGGTACAATTTGGCTAACTAAGGTGCAGTGAAACTGAAGGTGGAGCAATTTTGATGTTTTGGATTGTGATGGAGCTAAAAGAATGTGTGATTTTGACAAAGGTGTGCCTCTGCATGAGATTTTAGGTGCAATTTTGGTAATGGTGCAGTTTTAGGTGTATTGTGTTGGATAAGCCTAGGATGCGATTTCAACATATGAAGGAGGTCTACCGCAATGAGCATTGCTGAAATGCGATTTTGAATTGCTAAGAGGGCCTGATATGCGAGTTTAAATCACTTAGAAGGTTTAAAGGTTTAACAATGCTAAGTCTTGGCTGAAATGCAAGGTCCAACAGTGCTAAGCCATGCTGAGATGCGATTTCAAATCGTACTCTAGCAACTTCTAACCTTTAAAGTGCACAATAAAAAGGCATGAAATTGAGCCCAAACAACTCCCGGTAAAGGTTCCAGCATATCCTTAATGGAGTCACTAGCTGTGAGCTCCAATAAGCTTATGGCCAGCTCAAAAAGATGGATTCTCTATTCATTTTCAGAAGAAATGGGATCTCGTTTTCAACTTTTAAAAAAATGATCTAACTTCCTTTATAGTGATTCCGTTCTTTATGGGGAAAGGCGCACAACCAAGAGATTTTGGTTCCCAAGGATTGGGAGAGGGAAGGTGTTAGGCACCCCTCTCTCCAAGCTGTTGTAAAAGCCTAATACAATAATTGTTTAGGCTCAACTTCTAGC